ATATGTTAGAGGCTAAAATAACAATATTTATTTGGTTTTTTAAAATTATTTAGGGACTAAAATGACATTTAGTTTATATATGTTAGAGACTAAAATAACAATAAATTATTTGGATAATTCTTCCATGTTATGTGTGACACCCTTACTACCCCAACACATATATTGTAATAATGTAAATAAATAAAGAAATTTTTTTAATATTAGTAAAAGGGTCCATATAAAATCTTTATAAATTTTTTTCAATATCTAAAATAATTGAAAATAAAACTTGGAAAATAAAACATAAGAGTTTATAAATTGTTTTCAAAAGAATAAGTACAACTTTGAATACATATAAAAATTCATGTCCTAGAAATCCTCTGCTCCAATATCCCAATATTAGAGCACATCTACAACTCAACTATTGGCATTCTGGATGTCACTCATAGCTAGATCTTCCTCACCTAAAACATTCACAAATTGTACAGTGAGAAAAGAAAATATCTATATGTAAAGCACACAAGGAAACTCCAGAACATAATTTCCATTACAACTCATTATAAAATTACAATTTCCATCAGGTTCATACATGTCAAGTTCTACTGATAATAAGTGAACATTTCATCATCAAATCTCAATCATACATATATACCACCATCACACAATCAACACTATGTCATGCTCACGCCACCGCTGTTGCATTACTCGATCAGCACTGTGCCATGTAGACATATGTACTTATTGCCACATGCATCATACAACCAATATTATGTCATGCTCACGCCACTGCTGTCCCATAACTTGATCAGCGCCATGCCACGCCAACATATGTGCTAATTGTCACGCATCCACACTAGGCAATGCTCATGCCACCACTGTAGTAGGTCATGCTCAACGTCGTGCCACATATGCATTTGTGTCAAGACATCACACATCACACACAAAATCAACATTTCTACTCAAATTAATAAGTTATACACAGAACTTGCACTACATCCTCATACACCAATATCATTACCAAGCATGCATACGAATCTAGCACCAATTTACATTATATATCATCCATATATGAACCAAATCTACAACCTAGTATCATACTACTTTAAATAGTATTTCAATCCACATGATAACACCTTAGAACATCGAAATAACATACGTCTCCGTTTGACAACTATTAAAGAAAATAACACACAAAGAGTTATACTCATACAAATAAGCTCAAATCTATCTCAAAAGAAATATAAGAGGATAATCTATAACTCTTATGAAGACATGAAATTCTAAAAAAATAATCTACTTAGCTAAAAACTTCAAAAATGGCAATAGATATAATTCATGCTGATAGTTTGACCCCTTTTCACTAAAACAGTCATAACTAGAGTTCTAGATCTCCTTTTTAGGTGATTGCATCGCTATTGGAAAGCTAACATCCAAGGCTAAAACTCTTATGAAGACAACCAAGTCTAATTCAGAAAGAACCAAACCTCTTAGCGCCTTTCAAAGTGCTTAACGCTTCACCTCCAAGAATTCTCCTCTACCACGCGGCCCCTAAAGGGCTCAGCCCTTCAAAAGTGCTCAGCCCTTTCAAAAGCACTCAACTATTTCCAACGGCTCGGTCCTTTGCCTCCAGGGATCTTTCCCTGTCACACGGCCCCCAAAAGGCTCATCCCTTTTAAACGGCTCAGCCATTTGATGACAGTAGGCCTCCATGTTCTTTACCAGTTTTTGGACATCAACACCTAAAACTCAAAAAATTCAACATGAAACCCCTTGAATCCATCCCCACAATTGCATATTTCAAAGCTTTTATTAATTATAAGATTTTCATCCATTCAATAATTCAATGATTCAACCAGAATTCAATGTTGTAGTTCCATTTACGAACCCTAACTCATAAGCACTTTTAAAACAATTCTATTCTCTCTCCCAGATCATCATTTTAACAATTCTTCAAATATTCATAATCATAAACACATATAGGATCTAATAATACCAACAATTGTAACATCCCAAATTTTATTTAATGAAAAGAAATATTGATTGTTACTCGTGATTTAAGGGTCCAGAACGGGTCGTTCCGGCGAAGCCTGATGCCTATAAATTGAGCTCTCTGCCACTCCTAAAAGGCACACCTCTCATTTTCTGATTTCTTTTCTTCACCTTACCCATGACCTTGAGTTAGCGGTTATGATATTTTTCAGTAAAATTTGAAGACACTACCTACATGATTCTAAGCTTGAAGTATTTAGTGATCGTTAGAGCCTTAAATATCTTTTGATCAAGGGAGATAGATAATTGAAATTTCTTAAGGACTAGGATTTTAATCTTAGTTGTTATCCAAGTAAAGCCAATTTGGTGACTGATGCTTTGAGTATGAGACCTTTATATTTGCCTTTCCTTATGATTAGAGAGATGGATCTTTTAGTTCAAATTAGGGATTTAAGCTTGACTTATGAGGTTACCCTTAGTAGTGTGAGACTAAGTATGACTCGAGTAGCTAGTGGATTGTTAAAGGAAAATTGGAGGAAATAATTAGTTGATTTATTTTGGTGATAAGATATGAGGTTATAGGACAAGGTGATGGATAAGAGTTTCACTTGGGTATAGATGGAGTGGTGAAATTAGAGATCTGATATGTATACCTAGTGAACTTACGCTTAGGTGCTTGATCTTTAGAGATGATCATAGAAGTAAAACCAATATTGTGGCAAATGCCTTGATTATGATGGCCTCTGATATATCATTTTTTATGATTTAAGGATTGGATTTGATTGAAGAATTTAGAGACTTATGCTTGGTGTGTGAGATTATCCTTAGGAGCATTGAATTGATTATGTTGAAAGTGACTAGTGAATTAATGGATGAGATTATAGAAGCCTAGGAGTTAGAGCCTTTCTTAGTGAACCAAGTGGAAAAGATTGGTAGGAGTATAGATAACCTTTTCTGAGTAGAAATCAATGTTGTTTTGAGGTGCAAGAACAAATTTTGGTGCTTAGTAACCTTGAATTAAGAAAGATGATTTTAGAGAAAGGACATAAGAGTACTCTTAACATTCATTTAGGAGCTACTGAGATGTATCGAGACCTTAGGATGATGTATCAGAGTGGTGCAGCGGAAGCATGGTGGCTTAAGATAAGGAGAGGAGTAGAGGAATTTGTGTACTCGTGTGTAGTATTCCAGAAGTCTAAGGTGGAACACTAGAAGTCTTTAAGATTTTTATAGCCTTTAGACGCCCTAGTTTGGAAGTGAGATAATGAGTGAATAGACCTTGGTTGTAGGTTTGCCTAAGATGCTTAAGAATTTGATTCTATTTAGGTTGTGGTGAATAGACTCACCAAGTTTACTTGTCTTACCCTTGTTGATAATAGACATTCCTTGGTGAAATTGATAGAGTTGTACATCTATAAGGTAGTGAGGTTGCATGGGAATTAGAAAGCAAGATGGAGGAGTCTACCCGTTGCAAAAATTTCGGGGACGAAATTTCATAAAGGAGGGGAGAATTGTAACAGCCCAATTTTCATAGAATGTACGAGGGCCCAAAAGCCCAATGAGGGTAATTTAGTAATTCACAGGGGTGTTTTAGTAGCCCAGAACGGGCCGTTCCAAAATAGGACCGTTGAAAGTTTTTAATGCACCCCAGAACGGGCCGTTGTGGTTTGAGAACGGGCCGTACTAGATGTGATTGTTACTCGTGATTTAAGGGTCCAGAACGGGTCGTTCCGGCGAAGCCTGATGCCTATAAATTGAGCTCTCTGCCACTCCTAAAAGGCACACCTCTCATTTTCTGATTTCTTTTCTTCTGCTCTCTCATCTTTCCCTCTACTTTCTGATTCAGACTGGGGGGAACCCAGCGAGGGAGACCAACCAAATCCTGTGTAGGTTCAGCTTCTACAACAATTCTCCGGACAGAAACAATTATAAAATTATTAAAAATTCCAAGGGAACTCTTCTCCACCCATTATCTCATGTGACTCTACACATAAATCTTTCCTTTTCCCCCGTACTTGATGATGCAAATCTAATAGTCCTAGTGAAATTTGAGGTTGTTCCTCAGTTTTCCTCCTCAAAGATTCTGTATATCCTCTCTTCTCCTCATACTCCTTCAGAATGTCAAAAATGGGAACTGATGGGATTAGTCTAATAACCCTTCCTTTTCATTCCCTCATACTGGGTCAATCCAATCCAACTCAATTCTGACTCGTTTCTCATTCCTTTCCAAAAAAATTATTAAATAAATAATAATAATAATATAAAATATATTTCTCTTCAATAAAAATAATAATAATTATATCTCTACATGCCCAAAAATATAATAAAAATACAATTTTATAAATAATATTATTTTCTAAAAACAAGTGTTAGATTATGACACATACTTCACTGTTTTTTTGGTATTTGATGATATGTCATGTACTATTCAAATAATAATAAATTAACATAATGTTAATGTTTGAATGACAATAAAGATCAAAATGAGTAATAAAAAGAAAAGTTGAGAATTAATTTATCATTTTTTTATGTCATCACTACTCTAATAGTACTCATAAAATCAAAGACCAAATTTCAAAACTAGTTTGCTACAACTTAGCATTAATAAATTTTTTAGGCTTCTACATTATTGTTTGATTTTGAAAAAAATTATTAAGTACAAGTACTTAGTTTGGGGCTTTAGAACATCATATTTCTAGCCGATACTAAATCTTAACGTTGACTTTCACATTTTAGCTTTGACTTTAGGTTCATACAGAACATGAAATTCTTGTAGTGATTGTTGTTAATGACATTCTTATAGTTTTTATTTTGATTTTTCTTTAATCACAAATCTCTCAAGATAAAAAGTCTATATGAAAGAATTAAGGATATATATATATATATATATATATATATATATATATATATATATATATGTGTGTGAAAAATGAAAAATGATAATAAAGAAATAAAAGAAAAATGTTTATAACAAGGTCAATGATTAATTTCAAGCAGGTTATTATTATTTATATAACTTAAACATTGTTGGAAAATAGTAACTCCGTAATATTATTGATCTTAAACAAAAAAAAGCAACAACAAACGATCAATAATATCTTTCAATCATTTGGTCTATTGACCAATTATTCATTATATTAAAATATTGTATTTTTCAATAATATAGCTTCATACTATTATGGAAACTAATGGCTTGGGTCGATGGTGGCACTATGCAACACAACGGTCTCCACTGTCAAGCCAGGGCCAAACCCATGTAAAACACCCCACTTCAGTCCTTCACCAGTGGTGGATTTCCCTTCCTTGATAGACCACCTTCTCATCTCATCCAATATAAATAGGACACATACACTCGACATGTTCCCGTACTCACTTAGAACTTTTTTAGCTGCTCTCAGTTTATCAGCCTTCAACCCAAGTCTTTCCTCTACCAGCTTAAAGATTGCAGCGCCACCAGGGTGTGTTACCCAGAACAACGAGTTCCAGTCTCTGATCCCAAGTGGGTGAAAAGCTTCTTCAAGGGTTTTCTCTATGTTGTCTCGAATCCAATGAGGAAGATTTCCGTGAAGATTGACGGTGAGTCCATGCTCACGCAAGTGTCCCTCAACTGCACCCTCAGAGTTGGGTAGAATTGTCTGTGCCGCTGAGACAAGGTGATATAGTGGTCGTTCAATGGTTATGTCAGGGTCAGATCCAACGATCACGGATGAAGCACCATCACCAAAGAGAGATAGTGCAACTATCATGTCCAACTGTGTTTCGGAGGGTCCACGAAATATGGATACTGTAATCTCAGAACATACGACGAGAACACGTGCTCCAATATTGTTCTCCGCAAGGTCTTTAGCGAGACGAAGGGCAGTGCCACCAGCAAAGCAACCTTGTTGGTAAAACATGAACCTTTTGATGAATGGATTGAGGCCTAAGAGCTTCACAAGTTGGTAGTCGGCACCAGGCATGTCTACACCTCCGGTGGAGCAAAATATGAGATGAGTGATATCTGACTTAGGTCTACCCCATTCCTTGATGGCTTTTGACGCTGCCTTTGCACCAAGCTTGGGAATCTCCTCAACTAGTATGTCGTGGCGAACATTTAGGGATGGTTCCTTTAAAGTGCCAAGGGTGGGGTTTTCTTCTAGCATTTTTTCTGTCAAATGCATGTGACGTTTATTTATCATCGACTTCTCACCTGTTGTAAATACAAATTAAGAAGCTAGAGTCATCTCAAGGTTTAAATTAAGAGTAATGATTCTTGTATATCTAAAAATCATTTATCCAATTCTCTCTAGACGTACATATATAATCAATGTAATAATGTGTCATAATTAATAACTTCATACAACTATTAATTACTTCTAAGATAAAATTGATCATATTTACACATATGAAGCATGTATGATGGTCAATAATTAACCTCATCACATTATATTAACCACTTATGATGTAAAGTTAACTTTTATATATTAAATATTTCAATAACATCATAAGTCATGTCATGAAGCTATTATAACATATATTGATATAATTATATACAATTAAATTCATTTACTTTAACCACTTATATATAAAATAAAATCAACTATCTATTTAAATACAATTGGCAATTGCACTGGGTGGATGCATGTGTATAAATTAAATCTCGTAGATATGTACACCATTCTTTTTTCTTAATTTTAAAAAACAAGCATAAGTTGTAGAACATGACAATTAGAAACAATATTTGCGTACCCATTCAAATAATCGATCTCTACTTTTTATTCTTTTTCCATTCCTTTAATTGAAAAATGGCAAGCCAATTAAAAAAAATCAACTTTCTTTACGTTGATTTCTTTTTCTGCGATAGTATTTTTTAATCAAAGGGGCATTGAAGGGGAATCCACGTGTGTGAGGTGTATTATGTAAGAATTTTATTTATTCTAAAAAATAATAATTAATTGTGAATTTAGAAATTTCTATTATGTAACTCATATAACTATGTACACGAATAATTAATTAGATCAATATATATATTATATTATGATTCTATTATATAGTCGTGATTTTACCTATCTGAAATTACGAATATCTTTACCATCATACATGCATGCATGTGTGTTTATATGATGCATGAAAGCATGGCAGCGTACTTTTGCGTTGATGAACAATGAAATAAAAGTAAAAGTTGATGAGACGATTGATATTGAGATGCTGTATGAATTTATGAGAATAATCTTAATTAGTTTTAAGCTTACATATTTTCCTCATCTTGGCCTTGAGCTCAGTCATGTGCTCGCTCTTGGTGACTCGGAAATAATAATCGGGAAAGTCAGATTGGTAAATGCAGTTGGGTGGAGTTGCAGTACCAATGGCTAATATGGTGGCAAGGCCATGAGCTCTTTGTTTCTCACGTATTTCTTGCAAATATGCCATTTCGTTATTAAAACAAAACAAGAAAACTTAATTTGATTTATGAACTAATTATGGTCTCGATGAGTATATATTTATAGACATTTGTGTTGAAGTATTTTCAGTAGTATACCCATACATGTACAGAAGTAAGGAGGGGTTGTTGAACGCCACGTGCGTCAGCTGGTGGTTGGTCATTATTTGTATAAGAAAGAAGAAAAATCCACCAAAAAATATATATGTATGTTTCAAAGATTAGCCATTCGAATAAGAAATAGAGATAATAAAAAATTTGTTTACACTGTTTTTTTTTATATAAATATTTAAAAATAGGAATTGAATTAAAAGAAAAGTAAAAATTATATAATTAAAAATAAAAACAAGAAATCAAAATATAAATATATATTTTTCTTTTAAAACCTATAAAATTTACTGATAAGGAATATAAAGAATTTAAATTGGAAAATGAATATGAAATATATTAGATGAAATTAATAAAAAAATGACCAATTAAAAATAAGAATGGTAAATAATATTCAAAATATACCTCTAAAAGAATTAGTAAAACACCTAGAAGATTTTGTTACGTAAGATGAAATATTAAAATTACTTGCAAAATATTCACAACCTCTTATGGATATCACTAATATTGCTTCCTTTCCTCTTTATTTTAATTATCTTTTAATTCCACTTTAATTATTGCGCATTTGATGCCATTTGGTAGCATAGCCAAACACACAAAAAATTCTTAGTAGTGAATGTATTCTTCTAAATATTTTTGTGATCTAAGAAAGTTTGTTAAAAGTAAACAAAGTTTAGTCATTGATTTTCTAGAAGAAATCCAAATATAAATTGATCCTTATTTTCATAATCATTCAATTGGGAATTACAAAAGTATTGCCCTGAATATAGTAAACATTAAGGCATTAAACAAAGAGTTAAAAGAACTAAAAATTACATTTTCAAAATAAATTTATATTGGCTAAGATTTTGTAATAATCTTGAATTGATTTCTCTACTTGTTAAATAATTAAGTTTTTGAAATCTAATTTTTTCCTAAAGAAAATCTTTTGTTAATTGAACTCATCTTAATCACGGGAGAGGTTAGTCTAACATTTTATTAGTTGGTGTAAGTTGTAAGTCCAGAGAAGTGACGATAAACCTTATGATAGTACCATTACGTCTAAGTCCATGGCCTTAAGATATCTAGATTAATAAAAATGTTGTTTGAAAGAAAAGAAAAAGTGGAAGAAAATTTAATTTTTGAACAAGAAGAAGAAGCATATTTCAATATACTTCAACATGAATTAATAATTCTAGAAATAGAACATCAAATTTCTAAATGGATCATTCCTAAGCTAGAGATATCCTCCATGTACAAAAATTCATGAAATGATATTTTTAAAACTGAATATGTAATTAAAACAATAAAAAAGAAAGTCAAATTAAAATTAAGTCATGAATCCATAGTGCATTAATTTCTAAAAAACTAATTGCAAAACATATTAAAAATTATAAATACCACCACATAGGATCTACTCAAGTAGCCATAAAACCTTTGTTTAGGCTAGGACTGGACACCCCTATGTTTATAAGTTTTAGAGACAATAGAACAACAAGACTTAAAAATCAAAATTAAGTCATGAATCCACAACATTAATTTCTAAACAACTAATTGCATAACATATTAAAAATAATAAATACCTCCACATAGGATCTACTCAAGTAGCTATAAAACCTTTGTTTAGGCTAGGAATGGACACCCCTATATTTAAATTATTGTAAGTATAAAATATAAATTTGGAGGAGATGATCATTTATTTGATGTCTATCAAATTTTTGAAAGAGATTAGTTCTCATATGTGATGAATAATACTTCTTAATATTAAATCAATTTTTTTAATGTAATATGTAATATATATATATAATGTAATATATTAAAAAAATTAATTTTAGATAAAATAAAATTTACAGTATGCATATTACCTTTTGTGCTTCCTATTTATTGTATACGTTGATTAAAGAAATTAAAATAGTAAAGATTGTAAGATTGTATACGTTAATTAAAAAAAATCAAAATAGGAAAGATTGAGAGATTTATGTTTTATTTAAAAAATTTATTATAAAATATATTTTAAAATAAATTATCATGTAAAAATTTATATTAGATATTAAAAACATGTTTATATCATAAATAAATTAAACTTGATTTTTATAAAATTTAACATATTTATTTTTATGTTTTTATTAATGTTAAATTATTATAAAGTAGGTCTTTAGGGTTGTAATTCTAACCAAACATTTACAATATGTCTATGAAAGATAAATAAATCATACTTAAGACATATATTTTAACGAAAATTAGGTTTAAATATACTAAATTATAATATAACCTAGTCTGATATAATTTATTTTCACCTCAAATCATAATCATAGATATAAAATTTTATAAAAAAATAATTATGATAGATATATATTTATATTTTTAAAATTTATATGAAAAATTTTAATACTATAAATATATGAATAAGTATTGCTCCTACTATCTAAAATTTCTAGATCTGTCACTAGTATATAAGTAATTATCCAAATTATTCAATATCTATTAAAATAAAGCTTCCACAGTACTACTAATAATATTATGTTAGATATAAAAATGCTAGAAGAAGAATGGAATCAAAATTCGTTCCCAATTAAAGTAATGAAAACTCAATTAGTCCCTAGAGCATTATTAATGTCTCCAAAAGATGAAACTACTTTACTCTTGTTAAATAAAAAAAATGCAACAATGCCAAAAGTTTTAAAAAAAATAATGAAATAACCAATGGTTTGAAATGGAAACTTGAAAATCTTTTAACTCCTGAACCACCAAAACCTATAGAATTAGAAGATATAATTGAACCAGGAACAATGGAAGTATCATTTGCTCTACTAAGGAGATTTAGGTCCTTTAGAAATCCTATGTCACTTATCCACTTTTAATATAGCTAGAAGATCTTTAGATCGATCTAGCCCTACAATACCTTGAAATATTCATTTAAAGGGCATTAAACAAGATCCAACTATTCCAATAGTCAAATATGAATATGAATATGCTAATACTCAAAAGTCACCTACTCAATGAGATATAAACCAAGATGAAAGTGTAATAAATATTATTAAAAATTTTGAAATAAATAAAGATTTACTAAGAAAAGAATTTTTAGAAAATAAAAATAAAGAAAAAAGAGATTTATTTTTTAAAACCTTTAATCAAGAAGAGCTTAAAAAATATAGAGAAGATTATTATTTAGAACTAGAAAAGATACAAGAAAATATCCCATATTTTATATGGTTTGAACAAATTTTTTTTAAAAAAATTGCAAATAAATGCTTTAAAATTAGTAGAGAAAAATTTGAAAACCTCTAATGGAGAAACACCGGGACATCTTAAGTTATGAAGTAAATTAGAACGTTATAAAGTAAATTAGAACCATAATCTGCTCTTGTTAGAATCATAATCATAAAATTATCACTATATTATCACCTAAAATCTCTTAAGGTAGGACATCTTAAGTTATGAAGTAAATTAGAGGTCTTTGCATCACAAGTATTAGAATCTCCCATAAAATTATGGATTATTGTTATTATTAAAATTTCTACCATTATCGGTATTTGTTGACCATTTTCTGTTTTAACCGAAGTTGTTATAAAGTGTTTTTGTTCTAGGATTAAATTATTATCCCACCATCCTTTCAAAGATCTGGTAAATCCGGTTATTAATAATTTAAAAGTTTGTTCTTCTAAGTTTTTAATTCTATGTGATGAAGCATTTATAACCATTTCATTAGTTTTTCGAAGAAATTGAAGGTTGGTCATACCATCAATATTCCATTTTGTAATTCCATTACCATCAAAAGCATATGGACTTTCTAAATTCCATTCTTCAAATTGAATATCAGCTAAGATAGGTCTTTTATAAAAATTTCTAGAAATTGGTGTATTCACAAAAGGTTGTGAATATTTTTAACGTAATTTTAATATTTCATTTTGAGTGTCAAAATCTTTAAAGTGTTCTCCTACTTCTTCTAGAGGTATATTTTGAATAGTATTTACCTTACTTATTTTTAATTGATCTAATTTATTATTAATTTCATCTAATATACTGTTAGATTCATTTTCCAATTTAAATTTTTTATATTCCTTATGAGTAAATTCCATAGGTTTTATCAAAGCTCTTGTTAAATCTTGTTTAGGGAGTTCTTTTATTTTTAGTCCTGAATAAACTACTTCATTAGCTACTTAATGAAGCAATTAATTAAGTATAATTTAGTTGACTATGAATGTTTTAAATATCTTTTATTACTATTTTATCATTAGTATCTCTCTTTTCACCTATCATTTTGAAAGGAAAAGCTACTAATTCTTTATTTTGTATGTTAGGAAACTTGACTTCTTCTAGATGGGGTATTATTCCTATTGTTTCTCTACTAGAGGTTTTCCAAATTTTCTATACCAATTTTAAAACTTTTATTTGAAATTTTTTAAACAATTTTCTTAAAACCATATAAAAGATGGGATATTTTCTTGTATCCTTTCTAGTTTTAAATAACAATCTTATCAATATTTTTTAAGCTCTTCCTGACTAAAGGTTTTAAAAAATCAATCTGTTTTTTCTTTATTTTTATTATCTAAAATTTTTTGTCTTATTAAATCTTTATTTATTTCAAATTTTTAATAACATTTATTATATTTTCATCTTGGTGTATATTAGATTGAGTAGGTGAATAATAAGTATTAGCAAATTCGTATTCATATTCGAGAATTGGAATAGTTGGATCTTATTTAATGCCCTTTAAATGAATATTTCAAGGTATTATAGGGTTAGATCGATCTAAAGATCTTCTAGCCATATTAAAAGTGGATAAGGATGACACGGGAGTTCTAAAAGACCTAGATTTCCTTAGTGGAGAAAATGCTACTTCCACTATTCTTAATTTGTATTCAATTATATCTTTTAATAGTACAGGTTTGGGTGGTTCAATAGTTAAAATATCTTCAAGTTTCCATTTTAAACCATTGGCTATTTTA